AGCTCAAAACTTAATCTAGTGAGATAATCACAGTCTGACAGATACTTGCTACAGAGGTAACAGTCGTTATCCTGAGAACCCATAGGAGAAAAGCAAGGTATTTAAGAAGCAGTACATAGCTTCTATAAGCAGTGTTGAAATTTTAATTTCTAATGGCAATTGGAAGCAAACAATGACTCCAAATAATGGAGGTGGGTCTCTTAATATTGACAAGGTATTATGTTTCATTAACTGGGACTCCAACATTCAATAAGGTTTTTTTCTGCCTATTAGTTCCCAGGTAAAGATACAAGGTTGCCCTGCTGGTTTTGTTGCGTGTGGATTTAGTGAATTAACAGGAACCAGATTCACTTGCAAACAGTTGGAGAGGGAACTGACTGGGTGCGGGGGGGACGGACAACAGTAGCAGCATTGTCTGGACAATCTCTGTTGGCAAGTAGAGGTATCTAGTATAACATCTTTCTTTTCTTTCTGGTATTCTCCAAGAATGACTTCATCAGTGGTGGTAGATGTAGTGGGCACGTAAGCACTCTTACCTGTAGTCATAGTAATTTAAATAGCTATTCTATTAAATAGCTTGTATTTGCAAAAACCATGATAGTCAGCTGTTTAGCAAACTATAGATAAGGTAGCAATAAGCAGTTGGTAGCAAATAACTAACTTATAATGCATTCCAGCACTTTCAGGTGACCATTTTCAGTCATTAACTGCTTACTCAATTAAACCAATTGAGTAAGCAGTATTCCGAGAGCAAACAAGTCAAAGGATTGAACACCTTTTTAATAGTTTAGATGTACTGAATTCAAACTGTCTTTTAAGGCTTAAATTTAAAAAATATAATCTTGAAATACTCAAGAAGTTTGAGTTTAATCACAAGCGTGTGTGTAAGATGGATCAGCCAGGGTAGCTAGAATACTTTATCGGTAAAAGCACCAGTGCTGTAGGTCTGTATCCTGTTTCTAGATATAGCTAACTTCTGTTCTCATAAATTTTCTCAATGTTTGTTTAGCCTAGCAAAAAGAACAAGATCTTCTAATTTTATGTAAATAAAAGACATTACAGGATCCTAACTATTCTACTTCTATTTTCTGCCTCGGCTCTGCTTTAATTTCCTGTTGTTCAACACGTGTGTGCAGTTCTAGTCATCCAGTATTTCATATGAAGTCTTATGCTTTGTACAATTCTATTGCTGCTTCCTCATTTCTATTAAAAAAGTCTTTTTTTAGTGCCTTTTAGAATTGCATGGGCTACTTGCGCAACTATGCGTAGCTGCTGGTTTGGTTTTCCTTCTGTTAGCCAGAATAGCCAGCCTTTCTTTTCTTCCTTCACCTCTGCTTTATAGCTGTAGATTTTATGATTGATCCCTTCCAACTTTGCACGTTTTCTAGTATGATGATTTGGTCTTCCTCAGAGTGTGCAGTATCTTCTGACCTTGCTGTCAGTTCTTGAAATGCACCTTGCATTTTTACATTGATTGCGAATCAGCACATGAAGCAAACTTGCTTTGTAATGAACACTGGTGATGATTCCTCCTTATCCTGATAACTTTATACAAGCTATATCTTGATTTTCCGTTATACAACTTCTGTGTGGAATTACTTGATTAATCCTTATTCTGTCTGTACGATTAAACTTCCTAAAAGGTACTCCTATCTGTTCAGGTCTGCCGCCTTTTCTCTTACTAAGAAACCATCTGTCACAACAAAATGGGATTAGTGTGACATGAGCTATTTGTAACATAACTCTGCCATAATTTTGCTGCTTTTTCTATGCTTTAATGTCCTTAATTACTGTCCTTAATTAGTTTTCTTCAAAATCTATTCCAACATGGCATTTAAGTTAACTTAATGTCTGTAGTTGAGTGAATATAATACAGTTGTTATGAATAGAGATGTTTACTTTTATTCTGTCATAGAGTGCCATAACTTTACAAATTCATAAAAATGTTTGATAGTAGATTTACTACACTTTTTACAACATTAGTCCTGCTCTGAGGGGGAGAGTTGGCATCCCGAGATTTGTTCCAATCTGAATTGTTTCGTAATTCTATGAGCTACTGCCTTCACTGGTCTAGGATGAGTACTACTTGGATTTACAAGTTCTTTTTAGTTACATTAGACAGCTTAAGAGTGTAAGTTTTTTTTATCTGTATGATGAAATAGCAATATCTTTGTTACTGATGCTGTTATAATCCTCATGTATGCTTGCTGCACTGTCGATAGTGCATTTAATTTTTAGGACATTAGGATGTTCCCAATATTATATCCAGCAGTTTCAATACCACTTTTCTACATGGCATTTGTATTTTTTCATTTTCCTCTCTCTGATTTCAGGATTTTTTTGGCTTTTGTCTTCAACCCATTGATTTATAGTTCATAGAATTATTGAAAATAACATGCAATAACAACTTTTTGTTCTTCAGCTGTAAATAGTTCTGAGCACATGCTGTCTTTTACATTAGAGTGCCTGGCATATGGAACCCTAAGCTCTGCTGCTGTACTGCTGCTATGATGCTGAAAAATTTACTTTTCCCTTGATCTCATAGCAAAAAGGTAGAGTCTCAAAGGGAGGTGTGCTAAACTCAGAACTGAGATTAAAGTGGTGTAACTGGTAGGAGTAATATGTGGCTTTAAAATATTTAGTCAAATGTTTATTTCTGGCTGTAGTACATAAAATGTTTGAATAACACTCCAAGATGACGTTTTATGTTAGTTTGCACGAGATATTCTTCTTGCATCCAACTTAGTCTCCTTTTCTTAGATTTCGAATCATTCAGAAATAGTTATAGTCTCTGGTTTTGCTCATGTGAAAATGAATGAGGTGGTGGGCATAGGATTTTCCTACAGTTCTGCATTCCTAATCAATACAGGTTTTTTTGTTAGGATGGAATTTATTTTCAAATGGGCTTTGTGCTTTCCTTCTGACAAACACAGATTAAAAGCACTAATAGGAACTTCACTCTTTGTGGGAAACAAAAAAGTCTGAAAAATGTTACAATTAAACCAGAAGGTGCTAAACTGGCTCTTACCCAATTTAATATTGCGAGTGTATTGGATTCTGAAAAGGCAATTTAAGGGATTTGAAAAAGAAACAAGCGGGAATGAGTGAAGAGGGTAAGCAGGAGGTTGTAGAAGTGACTTCTCCCAGGTTAGGAGACAGCAAAGGCTGGGAAGCTGTGGAAGTGGGCGAAGGATGCTATAGTGAAGGTTGCTAGGCTACTGGGAGGGAAGCGCTCACGGAGCACTACTCAGCTATGCCGAGCATTTTTACTACCCAGCTGCTAAGTAATCTGTGTGTAGATGGTGTTGCTGTTTTCCTGGCTACCGGCCGGAAAGGGAAGCTTGAACTGCTAAGAAACGTTGTCCCTTTGTAGGATGAAACTTGGCCACATGCCAGTTATTACCTTTTGCAAGACTGACTGTTTTTGGTTTCGGTCACATTGACTGACAAGGAATGTCAGGAATTCTGCTGAACATGTTTGAAATGGAATAGCAAACAATAGGTCTTTGATTCAAGTATAAAAGTATAAAAACTCTTACATGAATTTAACTTGTCCTGGTGGTGCTGACTGGCAAGCTCTTGGTTTATCTGTACCATTTTGGCTTTCGTTTCTTCTACTCTGTGTTAAGAGGCTTACTGAGAATGGCATGTGGGCTCTCTTTTTTCATCTGGATTTCTGTAATTTTTGAAATATTTGTAAGAGTGTAATTAATCTGTATCAGTAAAAACTATTTCTTGCAATTGCAAATGCAAGGTTATCAGCTTTTCCTTTGTAAAGGAAGGTAATTCTTCATCTGCTTTTTTAATTAATAGGCACTCTGTACTGTGTTTTGCCATACATATAGTTGGAAAACACATACATTTATGATTCTTCTTATTTGTAGTTTAACCTTTGTCCCGGGAGATCTTTTTAACAGAAGGTTAATGCTAATAGTTTTTACCACAGACAGTGACAGAGAAACTGAATATGTACTTAAAATTATGGTGCGTTAATAATGATTCCTTTGCACTTGTCCTTCTCCTTGTGAGCTCTAACACAACAATCCAGTTCAGTTTTCTTTTAATACCATTTTGTGAAGGTGTATTGCAGTTCTGCCAGTACTGTTATGTTACCAAAAAGTCAGGCACTGAATACACACTGTAGGATGCAACAACAACAACAACAAAATTATTCTTTAACATCCATGAAGGTGCAGTGGAGATAATGTAACGTGGACTGGATCCAAGTCCAGTGTCCTGTTGCCAGTTGTGGACTCCCAAGCCAATCTAACTCCCCTGGTATAGTCTCCCAACTTTACTGATTTGTGGCCTTGAACTTAAACCCACTTTTTTGATGTAAATGGTCTTTATGGAGTTGTCTTCTGTGAATTTATGTAGGTCCTTTTTAAATCTCTGTAAAATAATAGTATTCACATACTATGCCAAGAATTCCAAAGTTCACCTACCTGTGTGTTGTGTGAATGGCTGTCACATGTTTGATTCTTATCTGTGAATTTTGCTCCATGATGTCCATTTCTTGTGTTGAGAAACCGTGAGCAATTGTTACCTATAGCTTTCCCTTCACCTATTCCTTAGATCTTGTTATAGATTCTGTTCTCAGCTGTTTCTTTTCCTGGTGCAAGACTCCTTGTCTATTAACCATTCCTTGTACCTTTTTCACAGCCTGTCCTCATCTGTGGGATGTTGGGTTTCTGGGCTTTCTTAAACCTATGTGCTTCACATCTCTTTACAGTGAATTTCTTGTACTAGTTTTGTATCTGCTTACACAGTTGCATAAAGAACTCATGACACTGTAGGCATTTCTTGCTTTTATAGCTTAGAATAGCTTAGAATTATCAAAACCCTTTTTTATGTTTATAAAAAATTGCAATAATATTTTCACAACCTTTGACGTATACAATAATCTGTGCAGTACAAGTATGTGACATTAATAACAGGACTGAATATTTTTATTTAATTCCCATTGCATTAATTTACAAACTCAATCTTTTGCAGTTTTATTGCTAGAGAAGATGGAACATGATGACATTTGTAATAAAACTCTGAAGATTACAGACTTTGGTCTGGCTAGAGAGTGGCACAGAACAACCAAAATGAGTGCAGCAGGGACTTATGCGTGGATGGCTCCAGAAGTTATCAAGTCTTCCATGTTTTCTAAAGGAAGTGATATTTGGAGGTAAGAAGTTTTTCTGCTGAAGACTGTTTTCAGTAGAACCATGTGGAGGTTTTTGAATGAATTTTATTTGGATTTTTTTGGTGGTTTCCTAGGTTATTGTCTCAGCATATGGCAAGTATAGATGTTCTAAGAAACATGTTCATTTCTCAGCATCTCATTCATTCGATCTACCTTTAGTTATTCATGACTTAAAAACTGGGGGAGGGAGACAGAAAATAACAGAAAAACTTTTTTTTTGTTTGTTTGGTTTTTTTTTTTAGGAAAGCAAGATCTCATTAAGAGAAGACTTTAAAATACCTATTGGTTTAGATACCCAGGTACTTTATCTGGAGTCTTAATATAAACAGCCATATTCTCCTGATACATTAACATATGGTTGATACCATATTGGTATATTTACTTAATATCAGATGTCTGAAAAGTCTCATTCTGCATAAAGAAATGGAACCAGCCAGTTATTACCTTTTAGGTCTGATAAATAAAAATAAGCTGCAAACCAGAACTTTTCCAAATGTTAACTTAAATTAGTGCTGTTTTTTAGAAATCTAGAATGTCATCATGTGTAAAAGTGAACATCAGATCTAAGCTTTTATATTTATAGAGATTTTGCTTCCAGTAGCTGAAGTGAGGAGAGTGTGTTCAGCACAAAGTTGTTTTAACTTGCTCCCTAATTGTAAAGGTGGGAAACTCCCTACGTTAAATTTTTGAATTTCATGTTTAAGATATTATTGTGGATCATATAAATAATATGACTCTCAATACTGATGCTATTTTTGAGTGGTGTAGTGTGAGATGCATGTGTTGTAGGAAGGTAATTTAAACTTTAGTTTTAATTTGGTTCTGTTCTGTGAGTGTGGAAAAGCAGTGATTGCACAAAAAGCTGTCCCTCACCCTGAAAAGTCTACATTTCCTTTCTTTTTGAAATATTGTCTCTCTGAAGGATCCAAGGTAGTTATTTGGTGAAGGAGAGAAGGACTTTAATCTGTTCTCTCATGCCTTCTTATGCATGTTCTATGTTGTCTAATTCTTAACCAGGGTCCTATTTTGCTTAGATGCCTGATATTCTACAGCATGAAGTAATACTTTTGATATTCTCAGAATGATTCTATATCTGCACTACTGTTTTGTGACACCCGTTTATCTTGTGCCTAGAATCGATTTTTACCATTTTGTTTACATCAGTCTGAGTTGATGTCCAGTTGAGAAACATCTTTGGCTTCATTCTTTTTTTCCATTCTTTCTTCCATTTTTCTTTAGTTTTTTTTTTTTTCTTTTGCGGGGTGGAGGTTGGGTGTAGGAGTTTCCCTAATCAGCTGTATTCCGTGCTTAATTACAGGTCCTGTCCAGTCTTGTTGCTGTGATTTTAGGTATCTGAGGGGGTATGCTTTGGTGCAATTATTTTATATTCTGCTGCAACATTAGTTTACATTTTTGGAATCTACAGTATTTCTCTTCTTCGCCTTCTCTCCTGCACGCCTCTCTTGTAAAAATGTAAGTATTTAGCTCAATGATGGACATCTAACAGGAGAGGTTTTTAAGTAGAAAGGCTGTGTTGTACAGTATAGTTTAGACCTTCTTGACTTCTAAAGATTTTCTGCTTACTGCACCTTGATCTATTCTGTTGCTTATCTTTACTCTTTCTTTCAAAGAAAAGCAAATAAATAATACCCTGGTAATGGGAGTGTTTTTTGTTAAAAAGCATTCAGGTTACAAATTTACCATGAGTCTCTCTAAGACAAGAACACAATATATTTCAGGAAAATTCTGAACTTCAGTTACACATACTGAGTGCTGAGTCTCCACAAGAAGACTGCAGACATCTTATTAGAGAAAAATAATTTTAAAAAAAAAAGAGCAGTTGAGGCTGTTCAAGTGTACTCACACTTGCAGCTATTCTTCCAGAATCAGCCAGTACTTGGAAACGTTGTGGGAGTATTTTCATGAAGAGCCTTCCAGGCTGCGTGTGCTTAGATGTCATCCTAGGTATCAGAACTGGTGTTTTCCAGGCCCTGCATGCCTATCCATTTGCTTCCCAGACCAGACTTAAAACTACTGCCTTTATTATTCTTTGGCATATACTTCCAAATTCCCAAACTAGAATTCCACTGTTTCAGCCCAACGCTTCCATTGATCATCACGCATTTCATAGTGACATGTCAGTCTTGGTTTTATGTGTGGAGCCCAGAAGTGCAAATATGCCCACAGATTTCCAAGTGCTGCTGGTGGAAAGCTGGGAAGCACTTACTGTACAGCAGAATTAGCAGCTGCTTTTGCCTGGAACATTCATATCATTTTGAAGTGATTCATGTAGCAATGTTTACTAACCTCGTGTTTTAGAAGATGGATTGTAAATTAAAATAAACTCTGAGAACTTTAATTGCCTTCATTTTGATCAGCTTTTAAAATATGTAAAAACCACAAGTTATTGCTGGAATGCGATATAGTAAGACTTAAATCACATTTGAAGGCAGCAGAATAATTTTTAATAATGAAAATAGTTAAAAGCATATATATTTGAAAGTGTATTAATTTTTGCAGTTTAAAAATGTGTAACTCAAGCATAATATGCCTCTTTTTGGCCTTTTGCTAAGCATGGAAAAGGAGATGGCTTTTGCTCTTTAAAAAAAAAGTTTTCTTAGAAGCTCTGAGTGTTTACATAGGACAACTGTATGTGGGCTGGTGAAATTTAATTTACAAAGTAGCTGTTGTTGAGAGAATTAATAAGTAGTTGTTGTCCTAGATAATGATAGATTATTACCTCTCAAAAATTCCAGCAGAGCAGGACTAGAATGTCTTTAGAGTTCTTCCCCACAGTTTTACCCCTACAGTGTTGGCGCTTGGTACTTGATATTAAGACTGCTCCCATTAAAAAACAACGCTTTCAGGCTATTACTGTGTTGGTCTGTTTAAAATTTTACAACCACCTTCTTGGCATTGTTGAGAAGTATTTAGGATTAAGGACTTGAATTATAAAAAAAACTAAAGCTAATGGTGTGACACAACTTACTATAAAAGGTGAATTCTTTTTAGTTAAATTTATTGTTCTACTTAACTTCCAAGTTAATGCTAAGATATCTATAGAACAGTCTGAACAAGGGAATTCCTTGAATTTAGAACAGTCTATGGTTGCTGAGAGAACATGACATTGTTTTTATATATTATCTAAGCACACAGATGAGATGTAATTCAGCAGAATTCCTCCATCATGCATAAAATGTGAATATATCACAGAGAGTGTTGCACTAATTATTTTTGGAAGTACCACTGATTGAAAACAAAATTGGAATTCCTTACTTTATCATCCTTTGTGTGTACAAGCAAATGCAGAGACTAGACTGGAAAAAGTGAGAGGAAATTATTAAGAAGCCCAAGACTTTTCTTTTTTTTTATTCTGTTTTCTATTTTTTAGGAATAGACCATATTCCTCAACTTTGATTAACTGTTAGTGCTATAAATTCAATAGTTTTCTAAGATTTTATGACAGTGAAAACTTCTTAGATAAACAGAACACAGATAAACGAAACACTGCTAATATTCATGCTGATGCTGTGTAGTTTGCTGTTTTATTATTTAAGTGATGCTGTAAGGTCTTTTATAATGCTGAATGACTTCTCATTAAGGAGAGATGATAGAAAAACTTAACTGATGTGTGTTGTTCTCCCTGTCACATCTGCTGTAATTGAGATGGTGTTTCTAGTACTAAGGGGTACATAGCCTTTACCTCCCCAGTGCTGTATGCATTTCTCCTCATGTAGGAGAGTTCAGTCCAGTTCTGAAAAACTTATAGGTGGTTTCTTCACACACCTGGACAGAAAAAGCAAGATCAATACTTTGTATTCTGCTTTTTCTCTTTGCCTGGTCACTTTACTATTCAAAAACAGCAATAGATAGTCCTTTGTATCCTTGTTCTACACATAGTGGTTCCCTTGCAGGAAGAGAAGGAAGGGGGGGAAAAAAAACCCCAAACCAAACCCAGCTGTAAATAAAGTTCACTTTAGGCTTTTGTTCTAAAAGGAATAATTAGTGCTTCTGCAAAAATGACTGTGAAAGCTATCCATGTCAGTGGTGGTGGGACAGGAGCTCTAGAGCAGCAGCAGTGAGCGTGCTGTCCTAGACTTCTGTAGGGGCTTGGATCATTTGAGCAAGACAAGCATTGGGCATTCAGACCCAAAGAGCACCTAGCTCTTCTAGGGTGGAGATCATAGCAGAAATTCTTACAATTAACGTTGATGCAATAGGAATTCCTATGATTCTTGATTTCTGTACATGATGCTGAGGAAAAAAATCTCTTCATGCCGCCACCTTTCACTAGGAACAGTGTTGGTTTGTTTGGGTTGTTGTTTTGGTGGTTTTTTTCTAATATGAGAAATTAGTTGTGTGTGTGTGTAATAATTTCTCAGTCTTGTTGCATCTTCTGTGGGAAGTGAAAAGTTAACAGGTCTTTACATAATACACAAGGGATTAGAAATGCAAGCTTCCAAATAAAGCTAGGACTTTTATGGTCTTTTTTATTGCCATTATTTCTTTTTTTAATAATATTTACATCTAGGTAAATTGTTGTGAAATGTTTGGAACGGGCAATGGCCTCAATGCTCTGCTGAGGTTTTCTTTTTTGTTTTGTTTTGCTTGGTTGGTTTTTGGTGTGGAGAAGGTTGGGTGTTTTCCTATCATTCAGGCTTCTGATTTACATGATACTAGCATTTCTATAAAAGTGACTTGAGGCTACATTTTGAATAGGAGTGTGAGCCAGTCTTAAGAGTTGCATCCAATTTGGTTAATCACTATTAGTGGAAAAGATGCAAAATGACTAAAGTAGAGCTGACTCTTAAAGACATTCACCTTTGGCATGGGAAATCCTCATGAATTTCAGTGCATGGTTGGACAGATACTTTTTGGTTTTGAGTAAACAATGTGTCAGTATTCAGAAAATAACTGTTAAAAAAATTACCTTTTGTAGTTATGGAGTGTTGCTGTGGGAACTCCTTACAGGAGAAGTTCCTTACCGTGGCATTGATGGCCTTGCTGTGGCTTACGGAGTTGCTGTCAATAAGCTTACTTTGCCCATTCCATCCACCTGCCCTGAACCATTTGCAAAACTAATGAAAGGTATCTATGTTGTTTCTTCCTATGTATTTAAATAGTTATGTTTTGGGAGTATGTATCCTTGCCTATAATAGTCATGGGGTTGCATAATAAACACCTCATTTGATAATATGCTGTGTACAAAGTATTGTGTTTTTTCCTTTTCACAGCAATCTGGTGTTACAGATAGTTGAATGTGTTTCTCAGGAAGTCATACAATATTACAGTGAACTGCATAAGTTCTTCAGTAGTGATGGAGAACATTTTTTACTCTGATCTTACTGACCTCCTTTTACACTCAAATTGCATTAATTTTCATAAACTATGGTTCAATGCAAGATCAAGATTAAAATATCAAGGGGAAGAATGGCAAATGGCATTTTTTCCTCATTGTTTCCTCCTGAGTGTCAAAAATGTTTTGGAAATACTTTAGAGAGAAATAAACTTTGCTTGCTAATGGCTATCTCCTTGTGTTTGATTAATTTCTTTACCTTTTGTATGTATCCCTTCTGTGCAGTACTGCTAGTTTTGCTATTTCAGACCCTAAAGATAGAGATGAAAAGAATTTGCTAGTAATACAAAAAACAGTCCTCTGAGTACAGGTAGGTAGATGTCACTTTGGTAAATACAAAAGGAACCTTGGAAGCCTTGCAACACATAAGAGCTTGAAGTACAGTAGCAAGTAACTTGAAATTCATGTAGTTCTTAATAAAAACTATTTATTATTAAAAACTGATGGGATTTTGATAAATTCTAGAATGCTGGGAGCAGGACCCTCATATCCGACCATCGTTTGCCTTAATTCTTGAACAGCTTACTGCCATTGAAGGGGCAGTTATGACTGAAATGCCTCAAGAGTCTTTCCATTCCATGCAAGATGATTGGAAATTGGAAATTCAGCAGATATTCAATGAATTGAGGACCAAGGAAAAAGTAAGTTGGTTTTTCCCTTGTATGTCAGTGAAGGAAGGGTATGTGTGTATGTGTATTTATGTGAAACAGCAGTTTTGAACTTTTAAATTGTGGCTTACCAATATCATCTTAGAAACCTGATTTATTAGTGGAGATACACTTCAGGGGATAAATTACTTGGAAGAGAGGATTTACTCTCTCATTAAAATATTATTAATCTAGCTGCCTATTCTTGTTGTACTGTTTTTAAATTCCATTAATGTGTTTCTGGACAGTATTTTTAGATAACCTTGTAACTATCTTGCAGCAAACTTACTTTAGAAGAAAGGTTTGAATACCGTTTTTCTCAAATTTCAGACAGTGTTGCTTTTTGCCTTTCTTCCTTAACAAAAACAATAAACAGTTCTGTATGCTGAAACTATAGCTGGAGGTATTTCAGTTGGAGTGGAATGATGAATTTGACAGGAAGTGTAATGTTACTGTAGTAAGTGAGGGTTATCATATGAATGGGCTCATTCAAGAAGTACAGGCAATTGAAAGAGATACATATCCCCACCTGTCTCCCCAAATAAAACAGGTTGTAGATCTGTAAATGTGGCACATAGACTATTTTTAAAATGTATTCTTTTTTTCTTGGATATGTGAATGCCTCACTTAACAAACAAACCAGAGTTTATATACCCCTTAGCTAATCTTTATAATCACTGCAAATTTTCAGCTGCTGCTGAACATTCTCCTCAACTGTGGGAATGAAAAGCTTTTCATCCTGTTATATGACTGTATCACATGGCTTCTCTTTCAGAACTAGAACGAACGGTGATTTTATCTTTCTTCTTCCTGAACAGACTGATCATACTTATCTCTTTCAGTGTTGCAGCTTTGTAAATCTTGTTGCCAGATATTAATAAGTGATTAGATCAGACTTGTACTCATGAATCAGCAAATCCAGTTTCTCTTGTTCATTATCCAGATTCCTGTCACTGATCTTCTTTCCATATTGTCGTATCATGATACATTTGTACTAAATGAACGCTCATTGTTAATTATATTTACCCTCTCTTTTAGTTACTTCAACTAGTTTTTAATCACTATGAGGTTTGTTTGCCTTTAGACAACCTGATAAAGGTAACAGTTGGAATAGGCCAGGTGTCCGGAGTCCCTGTTAGAAATGCTTCTAGTAAAAACAGATTTCTTCTTTGCAGGTCTTTCTTGCAGTATAATTATTGCCCAGTATGTATTTGTTGTTATTTTTCATGAAGTTGTAATAGATGAGAATGAAGAGAATTGTGATGCAGTGACTTGTGAAGAAATCTTTATAAAAGATGTAGTCACTTAACTTTGACAAAAGCAAAAACTAAACTCTGGTCTTGCACGTCACTGTTAGTGGCCTTTGTCCCTCAGTTCTCATCAGGTGTCACAAATGGCTGTTTGCGGGCTATTGGCTGGTGATGGGTGTGACATTACAGATCTATTGTAAAATCAGCCTATGTGGTATCAGAATTTATTGATCACCATTAAGATTGCAGTATTGTCAATAATAATCTTATGTACTTACTGTCTGCCTTTTCTTCCACTCTCTGCTTTTCCTTCTTCCATTTTGGTTCTCAGAACTGGGTAAGTGTTGTCTGTGTAGTCTCTGCCCTGCCTGCAGTGGGCATACTGGTTGCTAGAGCTGGGCAGCGTGTATCTGTAGCTGCCAGCTCTCTTCCTTTCCAGATGGGTTATAGTCCCTCTAGAGAGTAGAGACTTTCCTTTTTAGTTGCCGTGGGGTC